CCCCGTTTCACCGGTTTGATCGGTCCACCGGGCCCCGTTTCACCGGTCTGATCGGTCCACCGGGCCCCGGTTCACCGGTTTGATCGGTCCACCGGGCCCCGTTTCACCGGTTTGATCGGTCCACCGGGCCCCGGTTCATCGGTCTGATCGGTCCACCGGGCCCCGGTTCACCGGTTGTTCGTTTCACTGTTCACCGTTAATAACGGTAGAGCGGTTAACGATTAATCGTCACCGTTGCATCCCTAAGAAAATCCTTTTTTATCCATTTTCAAACTAAACAACAGTACATAGATAAAGATTGAATAATGTTTGAATAACAATTGCTTTGAAAATAAATGCCAGATGAGAGAAATTTAATGTTTTTTTTCTAATCACAATGACTCAAAATGTCCCATGTTGGAAATCCCGGATCATTTTTAGCGGTAAACCGCGGTATTTATCCTTCCTGCCGTAAATTACACTGATATGAGAGCCGGTAACCGGAACGGTAAAACCACGGTTAACCGCCGATTTTCTTGCGGTTTTTAATAGATGGGTCAACAGTGATGTTCAGTCAAATATAGACAATCCTAAAACTTAACTGAGATGAGTTTACAGGAAATATATTGATTTCATATTTTCAGAAAATCGTAACATACGTGATCGTTTGAATATTCTACGTGATGTATTGAATGAAAACAGAGAAATGATTGCTCGACCAGTCATCGCAGTTGTACCTTCAATATTCTCGCTTTTTTCATTGCCACCTTTCATCGTATCGTTGTTATTTGGTTGTCGAACTGAAGAAATCTACCGATTACGTTATATTTTGATAATCTCTTATTGTGTGTCACTTATGCCTCAAATGGTCACCTTTTTCCTTTACATCTATCCATCGACCCTTCATTCGAAAGAATGGCAAGCAACAGCTATTGCTAGACGAATAGGTACTTTTCGGCAACAACTTTCTTCGTTAAACATCACAAATATGTCTAATGCAAAAGAACAGAAATCAGGGGGCTAATTGTGCCGATATATTTGTATGCCTTGTCGCTTTCATTGTACATCCCTGTGCGCTTCATTTTCTGATTCCTCTACCGCTTTCTGTCCCTTTTAGAAGCGAATATATCCGGATGTTCTGGATGTTAATGATACAGGTGTGGGTATGTTCAATAAGATAAAGTTAGATTCAAAGCCAGAATACGATCGTTTTTTACTCTTGCTGAAGTAGTCATCATCACGCATCTTTAGAATCTAAAACTACATTAGTCACAATCGGATAAAATCGTTAATCAACTCCTGAAATAAATTTTAAGGGGGTGTGTATGGGTGTGTGGGTATGGGGTGTGGGTGTGGGGTGTGGGGTGTGGATGTGGGGTGTGTGGGTGTGGGGTGTGAATGCGGGGTGTGGGTGTGGGTGTGGGGTGTGGGTGTGCGGGTGTGGGTGTGGATGGGTGTGGGTGTGTGGGTGTGGATGGGTGTGGGGGTGTGGGTGTGAGTGTGGGTGTGGGTCTGGGTGTGGGTGTGGGTGTGGGTGTGTGGGTGTGTGGGTGTGGGTGTGGGTGGGTTTGCGTGCGGTTGTGGGTGTGGGTGGGTTTGCATGCGGTTGTGGGTGTGGGTGCGGATGTTGGTGTGGGTGTGGATGCTAGTGTGGGTGTGGGTGTGGGGTGGGTGTGGCTGTGGGTGTGGATGTTGGTGTGGATGTGGATGTTGGTGTGGGTGTGGGTGTGGGTGTGGATATTGGTGTGGGTGGGTGTGGGTGTAGAGAAGAACCACAATCACATTCACCCACACCCACACCCACACCCACACCCACACCCACATCCACACCCACACCCATACCCACACCCACACCCACACCCACACCCACA